TACGCCAGGCACCGTGCTCTGTCCTGTAGTCCCCACAGCGCCTCTGTTCTTTGTCACCACCCTCAAGGTGAGGCAACTGAGGTTCTAAGGGGTTAACAAATTTCCAAGGGTGACCCGGCTACTAAACGGTGGAGCTGTGGATCAAGTCCATGTCCTTCTCCCCTTTCATTGGGCCCTATCCATCCTTCAGGGCCCCCTCCCCGAGGAAGCTCCCGGAACCCACTGGCCCTGGGCTCTCCCAGTCCTCCCCGCTGCCAAGGAGCAGCCTGCGGACTCCGTTTGCCACCCATCAGCCTAGGTGGCCTTCCGTTTCGGCTCAGGTTCCGCGTGTCCTGTTCCCCCTCAGACTGTCCGTCCTCGAGGGCCCGGGGCATCCCCTTCATCGCTGCTGGATCTCAGCCTCTGGCCCAGCGCTCGGCCCGAGTTTGTCGAGTGACTTATCAAAAGAGGGGCGACACTTTAGAGAAAGGCGCATTGGAGCAGGCAGCTCCCCATGGAGCAGCCTCAAACCTAGGGAGCCTGATGTGTCTGGGACTCTCGGGCAGCCTCCGCTGTCGCCCCGTTCCCACGAGACCAGGCCTGGCGTTTTGTCACTGCCCCTCTGCTGTCCTAACCCAACTCCAAGCTCGTCAGTGAAGTGGGCGGGTTTTGTTGACAATCAAACAAACGCCATCCAGCCCCCATGCCGGCTCTTGCACAGACCCCCTGCTGTGTCTCGCTTCTTCCCTTCCCCCATGCTTCTGTCTAGAAGCTTTGAGGAACTTCTAGAAACACCTCTACCCTCTCAAACTCTTGCATTCTAACCCCAAGCTTACAAACCCCACTGTAGCGAAATAAAATGTTCCATCAGCTGAACTCACTGCCTTTGAAAATCAGTCCCTCAACCCCCGACCACTAATTAACTCACAGCAGACCGTATCACACTTCATTGCACACAAGAGAAAGGCACTCCCTTCATCCGCGTGGACGCGGGCGCCAGCTTGGAGGAGCAGAGGCGGGGCTGGATTTCAACCCGACTCCTCTCCTTTTCAGGGGCTCTGTGCAGGGCACAAACTGCAAAATGACATACGATGGCCCTAGACCCCACCCAGACCTCTCCTCCACTCCTTTGCCCAAACTAACAGACGTTCCATGAATGGGGGGGCGGGGTGTTCTCCTCATAAGCAGACAGGTTTTCTCCGCATCTTAGCCACGAATCCTTGCACAAGTCAGAAGCTCTGACAGTGGACGAAGACTGTCATCGGTTGAGTTGACGAGGCTCGGTGACTGTGACGGGATCCCCGCCCCCGCCAGCTGTGTAGAAATAGGGCCTGCACCCCAGCCCCACCCTGCTATGTCCCAACACAACCACAGTGGCGTCCCTGCACCGCAGTCCGTCTGTGGCCCCGGTTTTTAAATCCTGCAATATTGAGAACCCTTGGAATTTGAAAGAAGGCTGTGCACGTACATCCAGCTGCGGAAAACCGAGACCGACGTGACCAGATTCTGCGTCACCTGTGAAAACACCTCGCCAGGTGTTTGCCAGAGCTGGGGAGGCACACCCGGGATTGATGAATTCCTGTTGCGTTTCCCAGAGAAGGGGTATCAGTGTCTTAGTTGCAGGGATATCGGCCATCCAGAGCGGTGGCGAGCCGTCATTTCTAGCACTCGCTCTTGCTCAATGCGGAATGCCGGGAGGACTTAACCCAATTTCATGCTGTGAGTAGGAAAGCGGAGATTCAGAGGGGCGGTGGCCGGCCCGGATCCCACAGCAAGTCGGGGCTGAGCTGCAGCCACGGCCTGATGGCCCCTTCTCGACATTCACATGACAATCACTTACTGAGCACCCACCATGTGGCAGGCGCCGTGCTGGCTGCTGGGGACAGAATGCTGGCACAGACAAAGTCCCTGCCATTGCGGGGTTTGAGACAGGCAATGAACTGGCAAACAAGTAAGCCAAACAATGATAGGTCTTGGCAGGGGTCGGGAGAAGGCGGCGTGGAGGAGAGATGTCGAAGCCACCACGTAAGGATGAGAAAGCCAGCCGTGGCAGGAACCAAGACGGGGTATCCCCCACTGAGGGAACTGCAGAGGCGAAGGCATGCTTAGGCGACAGGAAGCGTCTGGGATGGCCGGCGTGCGTGCACGGTGCTGGCAGTGTGCCAAATGAGGTGAGAAGGAGAGACGGCCATCTGCAAACAGGAATCGGGCCCTCGCTGAACCCGCAACCCTGACCCTGAACTGTAGCGCGTTGGTTTTGGACTTCTCGGCCTCAGAACCGTGGGAAGCAACGTTTGCTGTGCGAGCCCCGCTGTCTGCTGTTGCAGCCGCCCGAAGGCACTGTCCTTGCCCGTTCACCTCTGCCACGCAGAGCTCTGTGCTGCAGAGATGAGCCGCCACCCGGCAGGTGGCCAAGCGTGGCAGCCTCCGGTCACTCTGGTTCAGCGGGGTCCTGCCTACGCAGACCAGACACCCCTCCATCGGGGGCTTTCCGAAGAACGTCTCCTGTGCCCAGAAGAGGAAGCAGCAGCTACCACACGTTCTTCCCCGTGTTGTCTTCTGCTGGGTAAGGGGCTCGGAGGGCTGCAGAGAAGGACTCAGAGTCTGCCCTGCTGTCTCACAGAGCAGGCAAGAAAACTGGAAAGCTGCAGGACACACCCAGAGAGGGAGAGGACGGGGCATTGCAGCTTCGCTCTGCACAGGGAGCCACCGCCCGGCAGTGCCTGGTGGAGATGAACGAGCAGCGGCCCCTGCACTCAGGGGCTCCCTGGCTAGCAGGCCAGTGGCGCGCGGTTCATGGCAGTCCTCCTAGCTCGGCCCAGAAACAGGCCATTGCACATGTGGGTGCTGTAATGACAGTAGTGGCACCTCAGAGCAGTGGGACTGGGTGGCCAATTCAATAAACAAAGCCAATGGGTGATCGGGTGTATTCTAGAGCCCCCAGTGAGACGGGCAAACTGCAAAGGTTGTAGAATAGCGAGGATTGCCAGCACTTGGACAGCATCAAACAGCATTGTTCTAATTGCACCTCTTACTCCATCTGAAGCCTCACAGTGGCCTGTGAGCTTGTTGCAGAAGCAAATACAAGAGAAATCTCCAGGACCTCAAAGTATGACACTAGCTATGAAAGAAAAGATTGGTATAGTCGGACACTTTAACGTTGGCCACTTGTTGGCCGGGCGCGGTGGCTCTCGCCTGTAGTCCCAGCACTGTGGGAGGCCGAGGCAGGAGGACTGCTTGAGCTCAGGAGTTCAAACCCTACCTGAGCAAGAGTGAGACCCTATCTCTACAAAAAATAGGAAAATTAGCCGGGTGTGGGGTAGCATGTGCCTGTAGTCCCAGCTACTCAGGAGGCTGAGGCAGGAGGATCTCTTGAGCCCAGGAGTTTGAGGTTGCTGTGAGCGAGGCTAACACCATGGCACTCTAGCCTGGGTGACAGAGTGAGACTCTGTCTTACAAAATACAATAAGATAATATAATATAAAATAAAATAAAGTTGGCCACTTGTATTCATTGCAAGACCCCATTGAGAGAGTACCAGTGCAAACCACAGGGTGGAGAAGGCTACTGAGAAGCACATGCATCCAAACGAATACATAAAAAACACCCACAAACCACTGAAAAATAATCCAGTTAAAAACGGCAGTGGACTTGAACAGACCCTTCACTGAAGATGGTATAAGGATGGCAAACAGGCCCATGAAAAGATGCTCCACTTCATTAGTTACTAGGGAAACGCAACTTAAAACCACGATGAGCCACCACTGCGCACACATTCGAATGGCCACATTAAAAAATACCGAGCATATCAAATGTAGGAGGGAAGGTGCCACCTGGAACTCCTGCAGGACACCAGCGGGAATGCAAAATGGCGCAGTCGCCCTGGAAAACAGTTTGGCATAATTAGCACAGTGGAAGCTACCCGTTCTCCAAGACCCAGAATTTTCCCTCAGGTAACTACATGGACTTGAGCAGACGTGTAAGTGTATGACCAGCAGCGCTGACCATGACACTGTCCCAGGAACAACCCAAATGTGCATCAATAGCCAAAGCAAAAATAGTGATGGATTCAAATAAAGCAGCAACACGACACGGGGAATACAGCAACTCCAGCCATACACACGCAAAAGAAAACGTCGGTGAATCTTGCACGCATAAATGTCGACTGAAAGAAGCAGACACTAGAGAGTACACGCGGTGTGACGGCTCCATTTACATAAAATTCAAAAATAAGCAAAATGAAACTCAGTTGTGCAGGGGTCGATTCGCAGGTGATGGGTCTGTCAGGAAAGTGGAAGGGGACCCCCTACCAGGACTGCGACTCCCTCCAACGGGCAGCAGGGCAGTCGTGGCGGGGGGAGGCACATGGTAAACCTCTGGGGGAGCCAGTGAGGCCCTACGTTTTTGTCCTATTCCAGCCTCTTGCCCTCAAGGCCACAAATGCTGGTGGCCGCGAATCACACCACTGCCCCGGGTCCTAGCTTCCCTGGTGCTTTCTGCTGGTGATGGCTGGTTTGCAGCTTTGCCCAGAGAAAAGGCACCGGATGGAACTGTGATTCTACCCCACTGCCCTTCCGTGCCAGGCGCTGGCTCTGTGTCCCAGCGGCTCTGTGATCCAGGCCTCAGTTTTCCCATCTGTTAATGGGGCATAATGGCTCTCACCATGGCTGGCCCACAGAGTAGAACAGTGGATGTTAGAGGGCTTTGGGAGCTAATGTCTGAACGCCAGAGGCTGAAGGGGACTCTGGAAGGACAGCCGGGCTGCAGTAAGGCTGACAGGAGAGTGAGGCCGGGTAGGCCGCCCAGGCTGGCCCCGCGCTGCCCCATCCTGCCCCGCCCTGCGCTGCGGGGCTGCGGAAGAAGATGTGGGCACAGTTTCACTCTCTGTACCACGTCTCGCCGGCCAATGGGCTGGGGCACTCGGCGGCAGGTCACACAGCCCATTTCCTGTTTTCAAACAGGAACTTAGCGGAACGGCAGCCGCTGAGCTCGTCGCCGGAGCTTGGAGCAGAGAACCGGAAGGGGCGATGTGACTCCCTGCCTGGACCCCTGGACTCACACGGCACCCAGAGCCCTCAGGTCAGTGTTTGATCCCAAGCTCAGCTGGCCTCTGCCTGCTGTGGCCTGAGTCCTCTCCTCCTGGGACTGTCCCTGGGGACCTGTTGGGGGCAGGGCGGGACGGGCAAGTGCTGGAGACGGCCTCTGTGTGGGGGCTCTCGCTGGCACACGGGGACAGCTCCCAGGCCCTCACCGCCTCGACTCCTTTCAGAACGCCAGACACTTGTATGTCTGGTGGGGGTTACGTCTCTGATTTTCCGTGGGCCTGGGGAACAAGTCACCACGCTTGTGTTTCTCAAAAAGTGGCGTCAGGGAACCCCCGCCCCAGCCCAGCCCTGGGAAACGTGTGGAAAATGCAGAACCCAGGGCCTGTGCACCCCCTCGACCTGTTAGATGGGACTCTCTTGTGTGGGGAGCCAGGAAATCTGCTTTCGAACAAGCCCTGGCACCCCCATCCCTCCTCGACAGGGGATTCTGACGCACGCCCAGGTTGGGCGCGCCTGCCCGCGGCCAGGCGGCTAGGCGAGTGCCCACCCTTTCCCCTCCAGAGGCAGCCACGCAGCCACTGTCCCGGGATCTCTGTCTCCCGGGGAGGGGGGAGCAGTGCTTTATTTCACTCTGCTGGAGACTCGTTCCCCGTGGGAAGTCCCCTGCGACCCCCTCAGAAAGGCGGCGTGGGCTCTGCAGGTGGCCCTGTGTGCCCCTCAGAAGGAGGCCTGGACGTGGCGGGCGGCTCTGAGAGAGAGGGGAGGGTCAGGGCACCTGGGAGACAAGGAGGAGGAGGAAGCCTGTCCAGGCACAGGGCTGGAGGGTGCAGGGGCTGAGAAGCTGCTCTGTCCTCTGGGCCGAGAACAAGCCCCCCAGACAGCAGCACCAGCACTTGCAGTGTTTTGTTGTAAAGTCTAGAAATCTTTGCTATAGAGGGTTTAGGGGGAGAGGGAAGGGCCCACAGAAGCTCCTATGTGGCTCTCGCCAAAGAGCTTTTAGAGAGATGGGATTGCCTTTCCATTTCACAGATGAGGACACTGAGGCCTGGAGAGATACAGGAAATTGCCCACGACCCCATGGATGCACCAATGCAAGACTCTGTCCTTCCCATTCTTTTTTAAATGGGTGACTCCCAGTTAGACGCCTAAGAGCAAACGTAAGGGAGCTGGCTTTGGCTGCTGACTTGAATTTTTATTCCAAGCCCTGTTTTCATGATGAGCTTTCCCAGGTCTTTACCAGAGTGTTCAGCCAAGGCAACATTTCTGGGGCGTTACAGGGTCTCTGGGCAAATGGTGCCCTGCTTCTGACCTGGGAGCAGCTGCCTGATCACAAAAGCAGAGCTGGAAGGGCTGGGGCCGTTGAGGCCAATGCCACTCGCCATCACCCATTTTACAGATGAGCTGACTGAGGCAAGTGCACAGGAGTGCCCACAGGAAGCACCGCGCCCCCAAGAACGCCTGCCACCAAGAGTCTGTTAGCTAAGAGAGCACGTGGCCCCCCCATCTTGCTTGGGCACCTACCAGGACGTAGGAAATTCATCCCTGGCCACTCATCTTCTTACCATCAGGACGGGGCTCATGGCCACTCTTTTCAGGTGGGGAAACTGAGGCCTAGAGATATTAAATAACTTGCCTAAGACTCACCGATGGTCAGGATGGAAGTCAATGTCCCCTGACCCCCCGAGGGGGAGAGATAAGTGAAGTCTGCAAGCTGTAGTGTGCTCAAGCACGGGCAGCCCTGGGCCAGCCATGGCCCTGCTCTGTGCCTCAGTTTGCCCATCTGTAAAAGGCAAAGTCGGATGGAGGGTCCCTGAGGGCTACCCGGTAGACAGCTCTACAAAGCCCCCCGGAGGAGGCCCAGGTTCCCTGCACCCAACACCGCGAGCCCTTCCGCCGAAGCATGGGCTCCCGGCCGCAGCGGGCCTCACCTCTGCCCAGGCCAGGCCGACTCCGGGAGCCTCTCACCCCTGGAGCAGAGGGCGGGCTCAGGCCAGCTCTGGGACACAGCAGGGGGCGATGGGGCAGCAGTGGCTTCCCCTCTCTCTAGGCCACAGTTAGCCTAGAGATGCAGACCCAGGGCCTGGACCCCAACAGACCAGAGTTCAAGTCCCAGCTCTGCCTCTGTGGTCCACTGGCAGCCCCCTCAGGTCCCCTAAGGAAAGAGGCGAAGTCACTTGCACCCTCCTTATTTTGAATTTCTGTGCCCAAGTGGTGCATACACCAGCTACTCACTGCGTCTCAGCTAATGCTTTAATTGTCCCTTTCGAACATTTGTAATTCGATTCCACCTTCTACCTTAATTTAGAGTCATTCATTTCACCAGTATTTCTCAAAGAATCTAGCGCTTGCAGACACTAAAAACAGGGGCTGTTACACAGGGTCTGGTGTGGGCGGGGCCTGCGCTAATGCTTTGCAGAGTCTGCCCAACTTCATCCTCGCACCAGCCTTGCCGACATGGGTCCTGTTATTATGCCCGACTTATAGGAAACTGAGGCACAGAGAAGCGAAATACCCTGCCTGCTACCAGGCCACCTCGTTCACTTTCCTGGGTCACAGACAGACTGACCACGTGGGTCGGTCCCCGTCGGCCTGCTTTCCGCCCTGCGTGCCCCTGGGCGCAGGGAGACGGTTCTGAATCAGGCCAGCCTGGGCATGTGTCCCGCCCAGCACGCGCTGGCTCCTGGTGTCAGGCAACGCCGCGTCCCAGTTCCCTTATCATAAAGGGAGATGAAAACTGTCCCTGTCGCGGACAGCGGTCAGAGTGAGCGAGAGAGTGTGTGTCAAGTGCAGGCTACACGGACAGCACATTGCACACGTTTGAGACCAATCCAGCTTCGTGCGTTAAACTTGCCAGCTGCATCAGCTGCATGACCTCGGGCTGACCTCAGTACCCTCACTTGTCACTTGGTGGTAAGGACGGATTTCTGCGGGTGTTCATTCCAGGGCGCGAAGAACCCGGATGGGATGAAGTGGGGATGCAAAGCCATTAGTAAATTTTGCAGCTAGACAGAAGACACACACCGGTGTCCACTGCTCTGGACGCTGACATGTCATTCACACGTGTCGCTTAAAATTCAGTCTCAGGACATCTACCTGGACAAGCCAGCATCTTTCTCCCAAGCAATCACTAAAGCCATTACTTTTGCTTGAAATCACCTCATTTAAAATGCAGAGCAACTCGACACCATAAGGTCATGAGGCCGAGAGAAGGATCTGCCCTGCCCTGGAGCCACCTGTACCGCAGAGGGGCAGAGCCAGTCTGGGATCTGGCAGTCAGTCGGGCATCTGGGCGGGAAGTGGCGGGCTCAGCAGCGGGGTGTGATAACGGCAGGGGCTATGACGTGGATCCGAGGCGCCCCAGGACCCGCCAGGAACCCCGGCACGGGTGGGCACTCACTGTCCTCTCTTGCGCCTCTGGCAGCCTCGGAGCATGGCGAGTGCGGAGCATCCTGGGAACCCCGGCTGGACGGGACCCACAACCCAGGACACCGCAAGGACCGAGCAGGAAGCGCCAGCGACTGGCCCAGACCTCCCACGTCCAGGACCTGAAGGACACTTAGGTAGGCTTGAGGCGCGAGGCTGGTCAGGGGGAAAGAGGTTTGAAGACATCTGAAGTACAGATATGGGTCACTTTAATGGATGCAACAAGAGAGCTGGGAAGTTCGCTCCAGTTCTGTTCCCCCGAAGCCGACACTGAGACAAGAACTTGGTGCAAGGTGCTTACCTGGGAGATGACGCGAGGAGGCATGACAGGGAAGCGAAAGAGTGAGGGAGGGAAGGGCAGGACGCAGTGTAGGGTCAGAGAACAGATGACCGCTGTAGGTGACTGAGACACAGTTCCAGCGGGTCCTCTGGGTGACTGCAGGGAACACATCTCAGAGTTGTCCTGTCCTCAGGGCGAGGAAGCCAGGCTGTCACCCGCCGGTCCTGTCCTGCATCTGCTGAGGGATGCTCCTGAGCATGCGGCTGTGGCCTGAAGAGGCCCTCGGGGTGAGAGACGTAGCTGCTTCCAGTAGGAAGCCAGTGGCACGTTCAGCAACAGTGAGCGCCAAGAGCGCGTGGCCCGGCACTGGGCACGATGGCATCTGCTATAGCGCCATCTCCTGGAGCAGATCTCTTCTTACAATCACTCAAGATGTACCTATGGGACGCTGCTCTGTTCCTCGCCCTGTGCAGGGCACCGAGGACACAGGAGCTAATCGAACACTGCTCTGGCCCTCCAGCGTGGCAGGGAAACAGATCGGAGAGAAACAGCCAGACGTGCCACGCGAAAGGCTGTCGGAGAGAGGCAGGGGCTCTTACGCTAATGCCGAGTGGCAGGCGAGGTGACGTGGGGCTGGGTCTCGAAGGACACCCCGGAGAGAGCCCCTGGGGTGCAGACCCCGGGACAAAGTGCAGAAGTGGTTGCGCAGTTTTGGTGGGGAAGGATCCGAAGCTTTCTCAAACTTCTCAGATGGTGCAGAGCTCAAGTGAGGTTGAAGAAATACTGTGGTTTTCCGGGAGGTTTAGACTCGAGGCAGAGGAGGGGCATGTTCGAGAAGAATTACGGCTTGTGGGAAGTGAGATGAGAGGTTAGGAGGGGCCGGCCCGGCTGCGGCTGGGGCACAGCATCCTCACGGCTCCCTGTGCCAGCAAGGAGTCCCGGCGACAGCCATGCAGCCCGCAGGGAGCGCAAGGGTAGACACGCCACATTCCCCGCCTGTCGGGAGCTCAGGGTTTCACCACGGCCAATCCGCAGGCCGTGCACAGCCCAACGTGCCCACTCTGCATCTCACGGCCCAGAAACCGCGGGGGCCGACGGGCTGTTTGAGGCTGTCAGTGGCAGGGTGGGTTCAGCCGGGCTGGGCACAGAGGTCTGGCGGACGCCCCAGTGGCAGGGTGGGGGAGGTGCTCTCCACCACTCTTCTGGAATTCCGATGTTCCACCCCAGCCAGACCCAGCCGTCCCCCCGAGCCCTCGCCGCTAAAGCGCACTGACCCGGTGCACATCCTCAAGGGTGCTGTCCTTGCAGATGCCCACGGCGGCCCGAGCTCCAACTGCAGCATGACCACGCGGGAGCTGCAAGACTACTGGCGGAACGAGAAACGCCGCTGGAAGCACGTCAAACTGCTCTTTGAGATCGCTTCGGCCCGCATCGAGGAGAGAAAAGTCTCCAAGTTCGTGGTAAGCAGAGATTGGGAAATGACGGAACCCCTTCCCCGCCTCCTTTCTGGCCCTGGGCAAGTCTCACCGGGCCTCGGCTTTCCCAGCCATGAAATGGGTTGACTCTAACTCACAGAGCTCTTCTGCAGAGAATGGGCAGAAAGCAAGATTTTGCACCCAGCACCGTGCTAGGTCCTGGGAGGATCAGAGCCGTGTGAGTCCCGCTCCCGGATCCTAAGAAGGAAGTAACCCGGTTTCGATTAGCAATAATCGTGCCTCGGATAAACCTCCTTGGCTACGATACTGCCACTGCGCAAAGCTGGAAATGACCCAGCTTCATCCCACGTTATCAGATGTTAGTCAGCTGTGTCCTTTCTTCATCCATTTTGCCATATCCCGGTATCATTTATAATTACTATTTACTTATTTTTTTCTTTAAATTGATCAATTTTTAAAAACACTAAATACATTTATTTCAAAGAGATAACACCCCAAATGGAAAACCAATATCACACGGCATAAAGAAAAGTCATTATAAAAGTCAATTCAAGGACGCCACGTGAGCCGGCATAGAGGGGAAAGTCAACACAAGGAGAGCCCCGTGCCGTATTAAATTCCAGCTGGGGAAAGCGCTGGGCGCGGGGACCGCTCTCTCTGCCAGGTTGGGATTTCAGCCTGTGATAAGGAGATGTCAAAGCCTGCAAAGAGCACCCCCGCCCCCGCCCAGTGCTGCTTCTTCACTTGCCTGGGACCAGGATAATAACGACGGCTGCCGCTGCGTGCCAACTGCACGGGGGGCGCGGTTCCACGGGGTTCGGTGCATTAGCTCATTTACTCCTCCCCCAGTCAGGTAGGTACTACGCCTATCCTGGCTTTAGGATGAGAAAACTGAGGCTCAGAGAGGTCAAATTACCGATCTAAGACCACACAGCTTAGGCCATAGTGGGGCTGGAGTTATAACCCAGGCGGTCTGGCTCCCAAGTGTGTGTCCATAAGCAGGATTCTCTTGGAGAGGATTGCAAAGGAGTAATTCTCTTACTACATCACATCATTGCCAGTGTACCCAAATGACGTTGTATAGTAGCTAAAAGCAACTCCCAAGTGTTCTACCTTGGAAAACACAGCTGTGATCCAAGCACCCCAGTACAGAAAAGGGAGCCCCCCCACCCCGTTCTGAGGATGTAGAGCCAAGACAGCCCCCAGGCCTTTGCACGGCAGATTCCTGTGCCCTTTCTCTCCCCATGTCACTGTGTCTGCTGCTCCAGGGTTGACCCTTCTCACGACTGGCCTTCGTAGCTCAGCCGATGCTGACGGTGATTTAAAACAGAATCGCACCTAAGGATGACCCCCTTTCGGGGTACGCTTTAGATCGCCATTGTTATTTTCATTTGCCGGGGCCCTCGATGCCGGCGAAAGCGCACCGTCAGGGCGTAGTCAAAAGCTCTCTCTCCTTGTGCCCTAGATGTACCAAATCGTCGTCATCCAGACAGGCAGCTTCGACAGCAACAAGGCTGTCCTGGAACGACGCTATTCGGACTTCGAGAAGCTCCAGAAAGCCCTCCTCAAGACCTTCAGCGAAGAGATCGAAGACGTGGTCTTCCCCAAGAAGCACCTGCTGGGGAACTTCACGGAGGAGATGATCTGCGAGCGCAAGCTGGCGCTCAGGGAGTACCTGGGCCTGCTCTACGCCATCCGCTGCGTGCGCCGCTCGCGCGAGTTCGTGGACTTCCTCACGCGGCCTGAGCTGAGCGAGGCCTTCGGCTGCCTGCGGGCCGGCCAGTACACCAGGGCCCTGGACATCCTGGTGCGCGTGGTGCCCCTGCAGGAGAAGCTGACGGCCCACTGCCCCGTGGCGGTGGTCCCGGCCCTCTGCGCCATGCTGGTGTGCCACCGCGACCTGGAGCGCCCAGCCGAGGCCTTCTCGGCGGGCGAGAGGGCCCTGCAGCGCCTGCAGGCCCGGGAGGGCCACCGCTACTACGTGCCGCTGCTGGACGCCATGGTCAGCCTGGCCTACGTGCTGGGCAGGGACTTCGTGTCTCTGCAGAGGAAGCTGGAGGAGACCCAGCTCCGGAGGCCCACCCACCGCGGCGTCACCCTGAAGGAACTTGCCGTCCGAGAGTATCTGTGAGGCACCAGTGTGGTCCTCTCCAGGGAAGCTGCAGATTTGGGGTCACCCTTGCTCAGGGGGTTGTTTGGGGTTCATTTTTAATGGGAAGAGGCTCTGGGGACTCTATGTTGCTGGGTGACTTTGGACAGCCCCCTCATCTGGCCCGTTATTTCCCCATCTGTATGGAACAGAGGTGCTCCTGGGACTCCTTGGAAGCCTCCGCCGTGTCCTTGTCCCCCTTGATACCAGGGCCACTTCATCACAAAGCCACAGACCCAGCTGCCAGAACACTGGAGAGGAATACCGACCTCACCAGTGTTTCTGTGAGAAGCTGGAGGAGAGGTTTGCGTTGCACGATATACACGAAGCTTAACCCGTTCCTTGTAGACAGCTCTCTCCAGCTGTCCTGAGTCTCCTCCCTGTTCCTCCTGTCTCAGTGTTGTTGACAAGTATTTCCACGCATTATCCTAGTATCATCCCAATATTCTAGCTCTTCCTCTTTAGCATGTAGACCCAACGCAGCAAAACAAAAGCTCGTCTATTGCCCCTCAAGAACAGCCTCTCCCCGGCACACAGTCACCCGCAATAGGAGTTGTGTGTCATCCTTTGCAGGGTAGGAGGACCCTGGGCTAGGAAGCAACAACGCCATAAGATTTTATGACGCAGGCGTTTTCAGCGAGGGAAGTTACCGACTATTTCTCTGGCTAGGATGACATCACACACTGCCGGGCGGGAGGGAGGATTTTCATTACATAAGGTGGCATGGCTTCCTGGGGTCACGTAGACACAGCCCTGGAGGGAGGCAAAGCAGGATACTCAATGGGTCCTGTGGGCAGAGAAGAGACTGAATCCTCAGCACCTCCTCTTTTGAGGGTCAGGGTTCTTAGAACCTCTCTGATGGATTAGGGTGCCCTTGACGGGGCTCTGCTGTCAGGAAAGGACACCATGGACCCAGAGTGGAGGGGGGTCTGGACCAGTGACCGAGATTCAACACAGGGCTTGGAGCTGATGGCACAAGCTGGTTTGGCCCAGTGTGTCTGAAGCTCTAAGCCCGTGAAGACTCAGGCATCAGGGTGAGCTTATTAGTGTGAACTAAGCGGACTGTGACTTGGGAACCACAATGTGGGGCACCCTAAGGGGCGGAATCCAGCCCAGCAAGGGATCACCGCAGCCCTGAACAAGCAGGCGCCAGGCTGCCCCAGAATGTGTTCCACAGTGACCCCTTGTGGTCACAACCATAGCAGCCCCACCAGGCTCCGTCCTGGAGGCTAGAGACAGACTGTCTTCCGACAAAGTTACCCCTCAAGTCTCTCAGCTCACTCCAAGGGAAAGATGCTTCAAGTAGAGATACTGGATTTATTGAAAAGCTGGATATGTGGAAAATTAAAATGTTAAATGAAAAAAATTAAAGAGCTGTGACTCTATTTGTAATGGTGAAGCTGATCCTGCTGATTTTACAAGTGATTTCATCAAATCTAAAATGCCATCAACTGTAAGATGCACCAAATATTTGCTAAGAAAGAAAAACCGCTCAGCATGAGGAGTGTGACGGGAAATTCCAGGAAAGCTGGGAAACCAAAGAGTTAGGCCCCCAATGTGAAGGTTAACACCGATAAAACTGTCCTGCAGAAGGGGACATTGGGAAAATTTGCACGAATTAAACTTGGCGCTGGGTGGAGGGTGGGAATCTGCTCTGAGAATCTGAACTGCAAGCAGATGCTCACCGTGTTTGTGTGCCGTGTGGCCCGAGATTCCACAGGTGGAGGGGTCGTGTTTAGTGGTCTCAGGTAGAGGCGTTCCAGGTGCCTGGCACTGCAAACGTAGATTCTCTCTGAGGGAAGTCAACGCTGACCCAGGCCAGTAGGAGTGTAAGGTACCGTTGAGTTCAGAGGGGCTAGCATATGAAAAAATGCGCATCTCAAAATGTGCGTGTGTGTGTGTGTGTGTATGTGTGGTCCACACACAGAGAGAAAATACCTATTTGGGGTAGAAGGGACCTACAAAATCCTATGGGGGACTCGCCATCGGTACCTCTGAAGACAGGTGGTCCCCACATAGCACACAGGTAAGGGACTTACGCCGGCTTCCTGAAAGGGGACTGGCCACGAGGGAAGCTTCCAGACTCCCACCTGGCCCCTTCCTGATGACACGCAGTGCTGCACTCCCCAGCGCTGCCGCAGCCTTGGCCTGCGGGGCCGCTGGAGTTTCTTCTGGCCGTGCGTGCCGATGGCCTGGGCTGGCTCCCCACGGCCAGCCCCTCCTGGCATTTCCTTTTTGCTGCTGAAGTCAGAGACCCACTCGTTTCTTGGGTTCCTGGGACAAGTCCTTGAATTCCTTGAGTCTTTTCCTCCAGGAAGCTTTCCTGGGGGGGTCACTGCAGCCCCACCAGGGTACCCCACTTTCCTGTTTGCCTGGGCCCTCTCCCTCACCACCTGTACTAGTCCTTTCTTCCAGGGGACTTTAGAGTGGTGGCAGCTGGAACCAGACCCTCTTCCCCTGACCTCTCAAAGCCGGGCACACAGGAGCGGTGAGGACTCCCCGCCCTCCATGATTGGGGCCGGGTGGGGGGCTTGTTAGAAATGTGGAATTTCAGGCCCCATCCCAGACCCGCTGAATCAGAATCTGCATTTTAGCAAGAGTGACAGCCCCAGCCCCAACCAGGAGATCCTACCCGTGTACCCTGAAGTCCGAGAGCGTGTGCTGGACTGACTTGACGGTGCCCTGAAGAAAACGACCCACGGAGCGGTCCGGGGGCTCCCGCTCCAGTGCTCCCCGCCCACGCCGCTTCCCCACAGGTGCCCCCCCACCCCGGGCCTGGGAGCTCTAGGTGCGAGCACCGCGCCAGCCTCACACCACACCTGCAAACCTGCTCCGGGCACCGAGTTCTGGGGCCTGAGGGGGGCTCCTTCAAATGAAGCCCTGCTGCGTCCGCCAGCCGTGACTCAGGGTGCTGTGGTCTCCCCTTTGGACTGGGGTTGGGCGTCCTTGTGAGGCCCTGTGCCCTGGGACACCGGCCCCTCTCTTGCCTGCCAAGCCCATGATCGAAACAAAGCTGTGCGCGCAGCTACCCATGCGGTAAAAATCAGAGCTCCCAGGGCTTTCGGAGCCCTGCTCTGTGGTCAGGTGTCCCTCAGAGCGCTGCTCAGGACATGCTCTTAACCCGTAGTTTTACAAACGATGACAAGACACTCTTAGCGGTTAAGTGACTTGCCCAGGGTCACACAGCTAACAGCTGGCAGGGCAGGAAATTAAACCCAGGCCTGCTTGTCCCATGCCTTGTTTCCCTCACTGAGTCCCACAGCGGGCAGAGTGGAGGAGAGGGGAGGGGACATGTCCCTGGTCCTGTCACCCATAAGCGTCCTTAATGATCATATCACTCATCTCTGCTTACAGATGGGGAATCGCAGGCCTGGAGGGATGACTCACTCAGGGTCACATGGTGAGACACGGACAGCACCAGGGCCAGACCTGGGGTGTCCACATCAAAGTGATAGACTCCGACAGGCAGCAGAAACAGAGTAATCCTGGACTCAAATTCCAGGAAGCCCTTGGGGGTCTCCCAGCCAGACCTGGGGGTGCAGGGTCAGTGCTGAGGCCAGGGCAGGGGCCACTAGTCTGGCTTGGCTTCCTGACCCTGGGCCAGGAGACACAGGTCAAGGTAGCCCGTGGCCCCCAGGGCTAGCACGCCCTTAGCTCTGCCCCCTAGTGGGCACCCCCTACCTGTACATCTGCTTTGGAGCGGCTAAGCCAGTTCCAATTCCACCTGCTGGTAGGGGCGGGTGGGCTTCCACGGGGCTCAAAATCAGGCCGGACTGCGCCACTCCTCCAAACACTTCCTGCCCCGCTCCTCCAAACACTTCCTGCCCCGCCTGCGGCTGCTGCAGAAAGCTGCCTTTCCAGAACTTTCTGCAGAGACACACGCCCCTCCCCTTTGGCCCCCAGCGATGCCACACCTATTCTAGCATCTGCTTGCCATTTTCCTTTCAGTAGTCTCTTTTCACTTATGCAAAGTTATTTGAAAAAGAAACTTCCTATTACTAGCTTAAGTTGAAAATCAGAATCACTCGCTATAATTAAAAGGTAGCTATAAAAATAAACACAACAAAACAAAACCTGTCACTGTTATTACACCCTAACAGGCCTTTGCCCGAGACAGGCCCTGAGTCTGGCCGGCCGCTGGACTTTCGTTGAAAGAGAGAGACAGACAGAAACAAGTGTTGGAGACCCGTCATCACCACGTGGAGACTTCTCTCTGATTTACTGAGAAGTACTGGAAAATACCGAGCTACGAAAGAATATAAGTGTCTGAGCACGTGGTCCTGGCCGTCAGTGGTGTCTGTGTGCCATCCCAGACATCTAGGGTGTCACCCAAGCGCACCAGAGACTCTGCTCCCCACTGCCGGTGCCCGGGCCCTGGACTCAGCCCTGCCTGCTCTCCAGCCCCTCAGTCACGGGCCTGACTTTGGCTTTGATCATCCATCCTCGGCTTTCAACCCCCGGCTCCAGCTCCTGACTTCACACCTGGTATCAGGGAGGACCCCCAAGTGGAGGGAGTGTTCTGAGCTGGTCAAAGCCTGAGCCTGCAGCATGTCCTCGGTGGGTGTCACCATCCGTCCAGCTGTGCCCTGCTGGTAAGCACGAGAAAATGCCCTCCCCAAAGAGGCCGAGCCCCACCGTCCCGGTCAGCTCCCAGACTGGGCCCTCTCACTAGCCGTCCATGTCCACGCACTTGCTCAGCACCAAGAATCAACGGCACGCCTACTTGCCCCAGGCCTTCTAAAGAGCTGGAGATGCGGCAGCAACCAGGGCAGACCTGCTGCCTGCCCTCATGGAGGTGACACAGCAGAAGGCCACTGACAGAGCAAAGAGGAGCTGGACAGAATAACGTCCGTCCCTCTCCAGGTGTTCGGGGAAGGCTTCTCAGAGGAGGAGCCGTTCAAAGGTGTCACAGAGAATGCAAAGCAGCACGGGGAGGTGAGAACGTCAGGCAGAGGGGGAGCAGGTGCTCAGCCCTGAAGCAGGAACCTCCTCTGTCCCTCGGGATCCTCAGTTCGGGTCTGCACCCAGAAAGGGAGCAGGCCCAGGTCCCACCTGTCCTGATGTGTCGCCCTGGCTATGCCGACCGAGAAAGTAAGTCCCAGGTACTAACAAAAAGAAGCCTTGGGAGGCCTGTCCATGCAGTTCCCATCTCCAGCTACTGCCCATTGCAAAGCGAACGAGCTTGTGTTTGGGGCATACAGACCTTTTTAGTTACAAGTGACAAAAACCCGAGTTAACCTGACAAGGAAGGAATTTATTACCTGAAAAATCCAGGAATAGACTAGTTTCAAGCCAAATTGGTTCCAAGGACTCACACTCTGTCCTCTTGTCTCTCTCACTTTCACTTTCTCTGTCTCTCAGTTCTGCTTTTCCTTCACTCTCCTCGTGGTGACAATTCGGCCACAGCAGCTCCAGCAACCCCAGCAGGCTCCCACATCCAGCGTTCTTGTGAGGCCCCCATCCGTAGGATATGTGGAAAACACCCACATGGAGTTTCCTGAGGTGCCCAGGGAGGGAAGCCCCCATCCCCCACTGTGCAGCGACAGGACTGGCTTGCCCATCGGGTCACCCTTGAACAGATACTATGTCTTAGTATAATGCGTCATTTTGTAATCTGCTTTTTAAATTGTAACTACACATTATGAGAATTTCCCTATAATACGTGATATTCTTCCATGTTATTTTTAATGGTTTCATCATTAATGCATATGATGCATATGCCATAGTTCCTTTAACCATTCCATTATGGTGCAAATTTTCCTTATTTTGGGCCACACAGGAGCAAACACTTTGACCCACATATCTTTTTTGTATTTGTTCGCTCTTATAAAAATTTCTAACAGTGACATTTCTGAATCAAAAACACTGTTTTTACTCTTTTCAAATTTTTATTTTATTTTATTTTTAATTGACAAATAAAAAGTGTACATACTTACGAATCATAAACACTTTTAATGATTTTGATATTACTTCATTTCTCTCTCTCCAGAAAGGCTGTACTAACTCACTCCTCCACCAGCTAAATGTGAGAGATGCCCATGTCCTTGAACCTTTGTAACACTGGCTGTCAGCATTTTAAACGCTTTTCAATAGTTTAACCTCTTTCCCTTTGCACGGGTTGCTTCTGAGAGTTCAGACCCAGAGGCGCTAATCGCGCAGTTTAAAAAGCGGCCAGCAGATGGCGCTGCCGCCCGGCGGCTCCGACGGCCTCGCGGCGCTGGCGAGAAGGGACGAAACGAAACCGGGAAACTGAGCGCTTGTCCAGGCGGGCAGGGGTGGGGGCGGGACGGGGGACAGGACTTTGGAAAGCGCTTCGCAGGGAGTGGAGACAATG